GGCGGAACACAACAAAGTAAGCATGGGAAATAATTCATCTCCAGACCATGTCCAAACAAGTCTGCGGAACCGCTCTCAATGAGTAGAAAGCAACTCCATGCAGTTACAGGACTTCATACAGGACACAATGGCCTGAGCAAAACAGATCTGTACCAGAGAGCTGCAGGCAATGCGGAAAAGGAACAGAATTAGCCCTACATGTCTTATGTGAGTCGGAGGCGCTGCATCACAAAAGTTATCAACTCTACCGGCAGGTAAACTGTACCGATTGGTTCACTAGCTGGAATGGGTGCTGCAAACTCGAGCAGCAAGGCACAATAAGCCCTAGAGGCTGCACTGCCGACGGGAACTTTTGTCGTACGGCTCCCGGAAAGGGAAAAACTTGACTACGGAGGTATTTAATGCATTGTCCTTCGAGCCGGATAGTAGCACAGCCGGCAACACCGGCGAAAAACGGGAACAGTGAAAAGCGCTAAAGTCACGGATAAACGTGTACCCTGCAACTAGGCGCTTGGTGATGCGGGGAGACATGCAAAGTAATAAATCAGCTCTTCTTTTTTATTTATGTCGAATGGCTGAGGTGGGGCTATAGAATGATCAGACGCCGGAACCTGTTCTAACGCTGACTCCGCGGCAGTGTTGCAGACGTACGATAATAATCGTTTTTGAACGGTAATTTCACGTACCGTACGATGTTTGATTGCTAGCTAAATGTACGATAATGCGGAGGTTTTTCTACTCTCAAATGTGTTTAATGCAATTGCAGTCTGAAAAAGCGAGTTTGCGAAATGTCTAAGTTGTCAAGAACGTCTAATAAGGACTCAGTTTTTATTCCTCCTAATTAGAAGCAGCAATTATTTGCATTAGTGCCGATGCCGTATGTCAACTGTGTCAAGTTACTGGCTGCCACTAATAGTGCATGACTCTTCAATAATTCCCTAATTTCCATGTGCTTGTCAATTATTTTATTTTTCGCGACCGATATGGCATCGCTGCTCAGGGGGCTCGGTACAGCTTGTCCGTAATTGGAAACGATGACGAAACCGGTTCGGTTTTGCTCGGCGGTAAGGACGTGTGGTCAACGTTCAACGAGGAGTAGATTTTCTTCTTCATGCCGAGATGGCGGACGAGTCTTCGAGCTGAGTCGGCCGGTATGTTACGTAACAGGTAAGGTATTGGGTCACGATTCAATGGTAGTACATTCTTGTGTCCGTTTCTTTATTTCTGCACCGTCACTCAGATTTGGAATACCGGGTGTTTCAAATTCGAACCTCACCATCTGAAACTCGGAAACGGTTGAATGGGGAAAATTTGCGTGTTGAAGAAACGAATTCTATCAAAATCGTTTCAAGTTATTATTCGGTCGGGAGGTAGCTAATACCATCTAGACTACTTCTATGGACTTTGCCTGGAAAACGCTAGAGCATTTCTCGACGCGTCGATTGGTGGATAAATACCTGACTAGATGGCGGAAGCAGTTAGTCACAGTCCAGACAGTGGACAGCGAGCGAGGAATTAAGATGGAATAATAGTTCGGTAGAGGTAGTTTTAAATTAGAGTAGCAGTAAAGCAGGACTTTGAACAGTAAACCGGTGTTTTCATTACACTATATAATGTCAAAAAAAAATCGAGAAAATGTGTACTAGGTAGCCGCTAGTTCATTTCGCGCCTACTACAAATGAACATTAAGTAGATGTCAGCTAGTTCAAAGGTGACTTTATATAGAAAAACCTACATAATGTCATGGAAAATCGAAATAATTTAAGTTTCGTAATACAGGTGCTGGTCTAGAGTCAATGGAGTTTCATACGTTACTAACAGGGAAACTGCATCAGTTAATTCAGAACCCAGGACTGCCAGATTGGCAAACATCTTCCCAAAGGAACTGAGATTTCTGTATAGTCGGCATATCATTCTTCGTGAAATTATTATCCCAAGAATGACCTCTTAATCATTTTATATCGACTCAGACATCTGCTATTGAGTATATTAACCTCGACAGTTTCAGAAATGACGCAAATAAATGATTAAATTGTGTGCTAAAAGTGTCGCTAATGTGATAGAAAAACGTTCCAAATTTATTTTTACATTTATTCGAGTTCTAAATTGTTTTATGACTGTAATGTGCGTAAACGTTAAAAATATACCACTTCGTTCAACGATACCAAAAATACATTTTGGCACTGGTGAACTGAATTACAAATTAGTATTCACATTATAACGAACGAAAAACTACATACAAAGACGACGATTAAAGAGTTTGACGCCTGCCTGTTAAGTCGGTTATGTCAAATGTCAGAGAGCACTCGAATTGATTTGAATTTTGTATCAATGCTTCTTATATGAATTGCATACAATTTCTTTCATAATATTTATTCAAGCAGATTCTTGACATGATGATTCAATTATTATAAACTTAATATATGAACGATTAACAGGTCCACTTGTTTTGTTCTTTTAAAATGTTGGTATATAAAGTCAAATGACAGTCTATGACATGCATCCATGACTCTAAGTCTTGGATGACATTGAATGTTTGCTGCTCGACGAGTGCTGCTCACTTTAGCGCCATTCAATACCTGTAAGCATGTCCATATTTGGGAAACCATTGAAGATCCCCCCACATCCCCAAAAATAAGCAAAGTAAAGACCCCCGCCCTTTTTAGTGCTTAAGCAATGCGTGAATAGTTCCTTATACCATCAATACTCCGAAAGAAATCACTATCGTAGAACAATACCTTCTCACACAAATAATGAAGGAACAGGTTCAGAAGCATTTTTCGCACACTATTATCGGAATCAAGATCGTGCAAAATCGCGGTTGTGCGGTAACCAGGTCATCCATTAAAAAAATTCCACGAGAGCGACGGCGCGCGAAAAAAAATCGTTCCGCTATATTTAATTTCGCACACAATAATCCTTCCTTGTTGCTTAACAACAACTCGCATTTTCTCATCCCACACCATTATTATGCTCTGTTCAGCACGACCTACTCACAAAACGAGCTGTTTATCTTTTGATGCAGGCAATGTAGTATTATTTGGACAGAATGTAATTACCGGATTATACTTCAGCTTTGACGACTTTCAAGGTAGCAGAACATATGTTTTATGGATTCGCAATTAGGAGATGGAAAAGGGCTCTACGAGACAGAGATAAGACGCAGCCTGGGTGGGTGGGCGATGATAGCGCCACCTAGCGGATGTTGTACTGAAATATTTGTGTCTGATGCGCACAAATAAAAATAAACTGATATCAATGAAAATGACGTTCAGTCGATCTGAGCTTAGGAACAGTTCAAATTTCAATCTGACAAGCTAAAAGGTTGAGAGCATATAATGTACTAACTAACGAATCGAAATGAATTGAACGATCAAGTTTTTTACCTCTAAACTTTTTTCCAAAAATGATGAGCATCCTCCGAAACGTCAAATGACAAAGTTCGGGCGATTTTCATTCTTTTTCATTTTTGCCCTTTTTCTCTGCCGCCACTGGACCAATTTTCAAAAACTACAAAGTTTTTCCGTCCTTGGCATAGTAGTAGTAACATTGTGTCAAAATTTCATCGAAATCCGAGCGGTAGTTCTCATGTTATAGGCTGTTGTTGTGGATTAACGGACATACCGATAGACAGACGAAAATGAGTGACTGGCTCATATGTCATATTACATTTAAAAATATACCATCTCATTTTTGAAAAATTTCGCGAATACAACGAAGTTTAAGCGAATTTCGTTTATTTTTTTTTCTTCGTTTTTGGCCTTTTTCAATGCCCCCTCTGAACCGATTTTAAAAAAATTGCAGAGCTTTTTCGTCCTTGGCAAGGAAGCAACCTTAAGTAAGAATTTCATCAAAATCCAAGCGATACTTCTCAAGTTTAGACGTATTAGCGGACACGTAGACAAACTGAAATGAGTCCGGGAACTAAAAAGCATCATTACACCAAAGTCGCTATGCAATAAGTAGTTGCTTTTTTGTCAGATGTATGGCGAAATTGTCACCAAATTGGTTGCTCAAGAATTAGAACAATTCAGTCTTCAACATGCAGTGCTACTTTGGATGTTGTCATCATATGCTTCAACGAAAGGTTTTTTTTTAAAAATACATACCAACGTTGAGTTTTTCATGGCCATGAACATGCATCATTAACTACAAGCAATAATTACTTTCCATCGTTATTCATGCTATTATGAACGCGTACGGGCAAACGAGTTTCACGATCCACTATTCGTTTTTTATACGTTTGATGTTAAATGCATAAAAAGTGGTTTAACCTGTACACGTAATATGCATACGTGTTATTTGTAATCCAAAACGAGAAACGCGTGTCGAGTATGGTGACCGTGAAGAAACTTGCCATATCGACAACAGGTTGCAAGCGTATTATACCATCGAGTTACATGTAGCAAAGTAAATAATGCTATAAATTAATGGATATTTTGCAATTTATCGTGAATATTTATGTCTGATTCATAGTATTAATCCGATCAATTTATTAACCCTCATATCCGGCATATCCGTGCATTTTGTATCCGTAAGCTGTCTACAAAACATCTGCACATCAGTAACAGATGAAGTGAACTGTATTTGAGAACTTAATATTAGTTCTTTTCGCATCAATTGTTAAATTAATTATTACTAACCAGATGTAATAAGGGAGTCTCGTATCTGAAGTACTATATTTTGTAAAAAGCCGAGTACCAGATACTGATCCAGATTCGAATACCGAGTACCTTTCAAAGTTCATCTACTTTTCCAAAAAATTAACGTACTAAAAACAGTTCAGTAGCTTAGACGTTTTTTTGTGACTGAAATGCTGTAAATTAGTGTATTTACGGAATTTTCTGTTCTGTTTATTAAATATTTGAGTCTTACAAGTGCTCCGTATATGTTTTTCACCGTGGAATTAAGCAGCTACAACTTCGTATTGAGGGCATTGGCATTGGAATCAAATTTATATTTTTTTACTACTGATTTTGGCTCACCCTTGAAAGTTCACGTTAATCCAAGAAGTACATACCTGAAACAAAAAAAAAAACAGGTTAATTGGAATCTGGATTTTCTCGAACGACGAAAGTAAAAGCATCATTCCTAGCGGACATAGCTGGAACGACCTATTTCTGGTATGTCCTCGCTTGACACACCCCAAATCATTCAACTGTCAACATAAAAGAGAGAACCGCGATAAAACGTCAGTCGTATGTTTTGTGTACAAGCTTTAGAAACAAACATAATAAATCAGAAAGAAAAACAAACGCCAACCTCACTGCTGGAAAACTTGAAACAAAGCCTGGCCCACTAGACGACATAAATTAAGTAATAAAACTAGCCAGTAGTATGCCAAGTATTCCAAGGATTTAAATTGTACACAGAAATGTGAAAAATTTGCATCGTGTTTACGTGGATTTATTAGACACCTTTAACATTGAATTATCAAATTGTTGACGTTACACATTACAATAATGGCAATTCGTTTTTGAAATTAATACACTAATTATACGGTAAATATAGTACAAGGTCATCGTTTTAGGTTTTATTTCTCGAACTGATCTACTTATCAACAACTATAGAACGGAAGCCTATGTATATGGTATTTTTTTATTCATTCTGGAAATAACAGACGCATATTTGCATGATTTCAAAAATTAAAGAGATAAGAAAAATTATATTCACTGTACACTGTCGAATTACAAGTCATCTACATGCTTACAGTAATTACATACAACGCGGGCGAGGTGGTAATTTCCTGTAATTCTCTTCAAAGTTTTTGAAAACACAAAAAACGTGAAAAATCGTAATTTATAACTTTGAACATAATCTGTCTTCAGAAAGGACAACATATAAATAACCCGTCGGGCACAGCTGATAGATTACTTCATTAGCAGCATATTCAGTAATGATTTTCTCACACAGCAAATATCACCGATTTTATACACATGCAGACCAATTCACACAACCATCCAGATGCGATCTTGCTATTTGCTATTCAACCAACTTTCTTCTCAGAGATGAAAACTATATACTGCTCGGCTTCACAAAACATATGCAACCAACAATGCGTCTCTATAGATGGACGCTCACAAAGATCCTTGTGAACAAACGTGAGGTACGCCTATGGTCTCGCTACCAAACGTAAACCGGCATCTGTTCGGTGCACGCTAGAAAGAGCAGAGAACGGGAACAAAAGTTGGGAGAAGGGGAAGAGAAGAGGAGGACGATTTTATTAGAACAAAAGGACACCACCGCATTCTAGTGGGAGTGACAGGCGCACACACCACATAGACACACTCAGCGACAGACAGACAACGCGACCTGAGAGGATGAAGTGACAAAGCAAACTTACAAGGACGATGGTCGAGTTGAGTGAATTTGTAACAAGGACGTAGGATAGTAGAGACAAAGTATACAGACACAAAGACACAATAGAAGTAAAATCACTGGTGGAAAAGTTAAAGAGCCACCAACCTTCACAGTAATGAATCAAATAACGATCTCAAGAAAGTGATTGAGGAGCCAATTACAGAAATTGCTAGTCATGGCCGTCACAGCTGCCTGGCCATCCTTGATCCCTGCAGCATCTCATGAAGGACAGATGCAGGGCACAGATGATACAATGTTCTATCACTAAAGAGTTGCCTATATAGCACTGTCACCGAATAGTGTGATTAACCAATAGGCTAGAGTGCTCTCAACGTACTACTTGTATACTTTACGCCGTTCAAGGACTTAATGATGTAAACAGGTTAGCGAACTGACAAATCCTACAACGCTGTCGTCTACAAAAGATTGTCGATGAATAATGAAATCAAAAGACCGGATTATTTATATACACATAAGACGTTCCTCCAGCTTATTTCTTAATCCGACCAAATCTTGTCACTTTATAAATTATTCGGTACCCATCTCGTACGCCAGTAAAAAGGATAACGCATTATACGATACGTGCCACACGTCATATTGCCAGAGAACGCTTGAAGGTGCAATCTTTTTCAAAGCAAGGTCATACAAAACGTGTACATGCATTATGTAATCTGAGTTATTGCTTGGCTGCTCTGGAATATGTCCAGCTGCCATCCGTATGTTCTATAACGCTGTTTTGTTTAAACTTGGAACTGAACATCTCACATTAGGGTCGTTCAACAAATCATTAAAAAACTACAAAAGATTTCATCGGAAGTAATCAATTTTTAGAAAGCGTAATAACTTATTAGAAAAGTATTTATACTAAGTGACATATAAATCTGAACACTCAGTTTAAATGGTTTTATTTTAATAAAAGTTGGTGAATGTATTTATCTTACAGTAAATAACAAGTGAAAAATTTTTCAGCCTTATCAGTTGGATATTCCGGTTTTTATACTGCTTTTTTTTAATTCACTAACGCTCCAAAAATGAATATTTCAGTCGCAGTAAAGAATCAACGTTGGCGGATTTTGGTTCTTGACATCCTTTACGATCGGTTACGATGCCTAGAGTACGGAGACCTGTACGATTTCGTCAACTTAGTGAGTTTGATAGGGGCCGTATAGTGGGACTTCGGGAAGCTGGACTTTCTTTTCGGGCAATTGCAGTTAGAGTGCAAAGATGTATAGACACTGTGGTTAGGTGTTGTCAGGCATGGCTTCGAGAAGGCCGTACGCAAAGGGCAAGGGGCACTGGACGCCGCCGTAGAACAACAGACCGTGAAGATCGCCGCCTAAGATTATTGGCCTTAAGGGACCGTTTCTCCACTACCAGGTCCATTGCAAACGAATTGCAGAACACGGAAGACCTATTGGTATGCGAAGTGTTTACCGACGAATGAGAAGTTTTGGCTTGTTTTCATACCGGCTACACTGGGTCCTCCCTTTAACTCGAGAACACCGACGTAATCGCCTTGAGTGGAGCAGACAACGGTCACTCTGGGATCAAGAATGGAACAGTATTGTCTTTAGTGACGAGTCTCGATTTTGTTTAGGCATGCACGATGGTCGTGCCAGGGTTAGAAGGCGACGTGGTGAAAGGAGGAATCCACAGTTTTTTGTTGAAAGACATGTTCATCACACTGTTGAAGTTATGGTTTGGGGTGCTAAAGCTTATGGTTCCAGGTCACCTTTAATCTTCATCAGATGTAACATGAACGCGCAGCGTTATATCCACGAAGTTCTAGAACCCCATCTTTTACCCTATCTTGACACCCTGGCAGATCCAACTTTCCAACAAGATAATGCCCGACCACATGTTGCAAGAGTCACAATAGACTTCTTTCAACATAATGATGTCACATTGTTACCATGGCCACCAAGATCTCTCGACTTATCCCCCTAGAAGCAGTTCGAGAGGAGTTGGTGGTTGCCTGGAATGAGATACCACAGGAGGACATTGACCACCTGATCAGAAGCATGCCTAGGCGCGTTGGAGAATGCGTAGCACATCAGGGTGCATCCACACATTATTGAAGGTCAAAGGGCTTTAAAGCAGTGCAATCATTTTGAAATTTTTATAATTTACTTATTATGCTTCATTAAGTACTTATACAAAATTTTATTAAAATAAAACCATTTAAACTGGGTGTTCGGATTTATAGTATATGTCACTTAGTATATATCGGTCACATGGCGTCATTGCTATTACCGATTAAAACAAGAATATTTTGTTTATTTAGAGAAATAGTTATCCTATATAAATGATTAAACACTTGCATCTAAATAACAACGAGCAAGATTTATCTTGTTTGGCAGAATTGGATGAAGTTCACGGCGCATGTGCTTCTTGTCATTTACAATTGCCTATAGTTGGGTAAATGAATACATCCGCAAAAGGTAAGCATTATTCGGGACGGGAAGCCACGCCCGAAATCTGCAATATGGTTTTAAGTGATCGGCAAATCACGGTGCGTGAAATAGTTGATACCACAGGCATAAGACGTTTGTAAATCAAGAAATGAGACGGTTCTTCCACTCATAGAAGTGCAAGAATTCCAATACTGGAATAGCCGTCAGAGCTGGTCGGTTACAGCCGTTTGAATGTTTTCGAATGTCCCAATATGAGTTCCCTTGAGGTGACTTTTCAACTTCGGGAAGAGAAAAAGTCACAAGGACTCAAGTCAGGCGAATAAGGAGACTGAACAACCACAGGAATGTTTTTACTGGTCAAAAACTCGTTTATTGACATTACTGTGGGCCAAGGAGCATGATCGTGACACAACACACTGATCAACGGTCATCAAGTGTAACTCTTCCCGATCATTCTGACTGTCAACCGACGATCAGAACCGGATCCCTGATTCTATCGATATTTTCATCGGTTCTTGAAGATGAAGGCCTTCCACTTCGTGGTTCATCTTCAATCGACTCTCTCTCTCACTCTCTCCCTTCTGAAAATGCCTTAAGCCACTGGGCTCTGGACAAAACACCACCTCCGTATGCCTGCTGAAGTTTAGCAAGAGTTTCCGATGCACTGTGCCCCCAAGTCTGAAGCCACAACCTGATACCACACCGTTGCTCGAAATTGATGTCACTGATTCTTAGAACACAATAGAAAAATATGTGTCACAAAAAAAATCGTTACCGACTTCCAAATTACTCGAGCGAGTTCAAACTTGTACTGAAGGCGTATCACATGTTCCCTTGTCACCCCTCTAAGCCCGGTGCCTCCAGTGTTGTCAAATCGAACGCGACTTCGTATTCAAGGTGCAGTGTTTTCAATTTTTGAATAAACACTTTGGTATAAAAAATGTCTGCAGTTGCTTTCATAAAGAATAAACGCAATCGTGTTACAGACTCTGAAGCTGTTTTGGCGCTTTTCCGTCGCAATCGTGATGAGTTTCTTTTTTTTATACACTGCCTTTCAAAAAGGTTGCTCTTACTTATTTTTTGATCGTGTGAGGTTAAAAAGTTGGAATTCAAAAAACAAAATTCTAAGGAGTCGAATTAATCTTACGTTTATAGTGATCTGTGACTAGCCCGGCATAAACTGTCAAGAAAGACGTTTGACGTTTGTTGGACAGTCGTAATTGTCAGATGTCATTAGTCAGTGAGG